TCGCAAGCGCAAATGAACGGCGATCCCAGACACAACGTTCAACAGTCCATGTATAAAGAACATGCTTGGGTTTGTGAAACTAATTTTTCCACTTTTACCGGACTCTTGCTACTATGGATACAGGACTCATCCGATATACTTAGATTTCTAAATTACCGGAACACGACTCTTCATCCTCGTTGGATGAAATCATCGAGTTTCTCTATATGTAGGCATAGGCATTGTGGCAAAACCTAGCGATGGCCGAAAGTATCATCGAACCGCTCACTTTTTCCTGGATGAACCACTCTTAGAACGTTCCACCATGGACTTATTAGTTCTGAACCGCTAAAATGCCCTAAAAATCATTCGGCATTGATACGTGGAAGATTAATTTTTTAGGAAATTCAGCTGTCTCTTTCAACTAAACGCATGCACTCCGAGTGTCTTCTCTCCTCAAAAATTACAAATTTCTAATGGTGTATATGGAATCGCTCGGACGAGACTTTTTTTCTTTGTTCTCATATTTACGTACTGTATTGACTTTAACACGACTCTAAACTACTTGCTGTGTCTATCGTATATACTCGAACACTGCGTTCGCGAAAACTATATAAGCAGTCTCTCAGCAAAATAACTGTTAAACTGTTTTCCATTTGCCTCAAATTAGAATCTACCGACCAATTCCCTAGAACAACTCTGCATCAACTACGCTAATGAAAATCTTCAGCTCTTTTTCAATCGCTATGTGTTTGAGCTAGAGCAGGCTGAATATAACCAGGAGGGTGTCAGTTGGTCGTACATCAAATTTCCGGACAACAAGGACATCATAAACCTCCTCACTGCGCGGCCGGACGGCATCATCCATATCCTCAATGACGAGGCCTATCTCGGACAGGTACGAGAGTTGGTTTATTCTATTATGTATTATGCATAGCAGTATGCGTTTGTTGAGAGAGAGTTTGTTTTCACATTTGATCGCCAGTTTTTAAAAGCCAGTTGGGAGTTTTTGGTTAAGTGCGGATTTCGATAGGCGCGTGGTAGGTTTTCAGTTGTTTCATCCACTTGTTCTTTTGAGGAGATCACTCCAGCACTCAAGTAGCATGCCTTACAAACAAATTCAATTCCCGAAAAAGCGTAATCAGCAAAACAGCAGATCGCAGATAGACTTTCCTGCGTATTTAAGTGCACACATCAGGCAGGTTAGTTGGGCTTAAGTGTGTGCAGTAGACCCCGGTCTATCGGTCCACTTTGGATTAAAACATGTTAAGCTGATTACACAGAGGTACAATGAGGAACCACTGACCAGTGGTCTCTCCATCCCCATAATCCTTCCTTCGTCTCCATTTTTGAGACGCTATTTGATTATATAAGTCTAGTCCTTTCACATATGCGATTGCAGACATTTATACACCGGTGTACTCCGTCAGCAGCTGATAGTTAGTGTTCAGTTGTTAGTTTATAATGCGAACTAGTAATGCCACTTTTCCGACTGCTATTATAGCCTTAGTTGCCTTAATTGTTTGCCAACGGGGGTCTACCTGCGCGACCACACCGACCGACGGTAGCTTGAGCCAATCGACAGACATCAACT